CAAAAAACACTTTCCTGTGCATCTAGGCAGTACTACAACACCAACAGCACCAAATTACAAACAAAACAACATGTGCTAAACCCCTGATTCTACCTTGCTTTCTCTTTGAATGATCCCTTAAGGAAAAATAACTTTCTTTTATGAGCATCAGAAAAGCATGCAGCCCTGCAGTGGAGAGAATGACAAGGGTTCCTCCATGTGTTGTGCTCCTTGTCCAGTGCATATTTTTTTCAATGCATACTTCTTTGGTAATTTTTATCGTCCTATAATACAGGTTTCCCTTGATTTATGCTGTACATGCATTCCCGGAGAATGGTGCATAAATCAGATTTGCATAAAGTGAACCCACTTTACAATGTAACAAATAGGGATAGGTTCCCATGGCGGTGAGGGAGGGAGTGAGGCTGGGACTAGGGAAGGGGCAGGAGGAGGGGTGCCATTCCCGCGGCTGCACAAGGCAGCAAAGCAGAGGGAGCAGAGTGGCACACACCCCAGCCCTGGCTGCAGCGGCCCCAGGAGCAGCCCCGAGAGCAGCCAGCGCTAACTGCCTGTAGCCACTCGGCTGCACTGTGCTCCACTTGTCCCCACACACCTCTGCTCCTGGGCTATGCCATGCCCTGGTGCAGGCAGCTGGTGTTGACTGCTCCTAGGGCTGCTGAAGCCAGGGCTGGGTGAGTGCTGCACCCTGTGCTACCTGGGGCTCCGCTTGTCTGCACTCACCCCAGCCTGTGCTGGAGCAGTCCTGGGAGTAGCTGACACCAGCTGCCTGTACCATGGGACAGCGCAGCCCAGGAGCAGAGGTGAGTGGGGACAGGTGGAGCACAGTGCAGCCCAGCAGCTGCTGGCAGCTGGCCCCGGCCGCTCCCGGGTCTGCTGCAGCTCGGCCTGGCGGGAGTGGGGCCACAGCCCTTTTTCCTCTGCCAAGAGACTTACGTGCTTGAGTGGGGGCATTTATGCTGATTGCATAAGAGCGAATTTACCTCACATATAACAAATTATGGGTCTAAATATGCTCATTGCATAAGAGTGAATTCACAAATAAAGAACCCACATACATTGAGGGAAACCTGTCCATGTAATGACCCTCAAATGGAATTATGACTATCAGAGTCCATTGGTGTCTTGTTTTGCTCTCTGCATTTTCATATCCTCTCTGCCTTTGGAGGAAGTGAGTGACCTAGGGATGCCATTCGCTGCAGCGGTGGGGGCTACCTGTCAGCTTCAGACACAATAGAGACAGGAAAGAACCATGCATTTTGTTAGCTAGTCCATTCCTTTGCCCACTGTGCAAGATTCTTCTCCATAGGTGTTCCCCAGTACATACCCAAAGAGCCACTAGAAATTATACCTATTTTATTTTTCTTTTTAAAAGATAACTGTAGGTCTGACAGCAAAGGTTTCCTGACAGTCATAAACATGGAAGCTTTCATCGGCTGAACACAATCATATGCCTCAGAAGAGGCCTTTCCCATGCAACACACTTTTTTCCAAAGTATGGGTCCTCAGCCCTATGCTGGAGACTTTGCCTGTGTGGCCTGAGAGCTCCATCCCAATGGCTTGCTCAACTCTTGATCTCTCTTTTCAGATGCAGGGCTAGTTAAGTGGGTATCACCATTAGGAATCAAAATACCAGGCTCACTAAATAGCACCAGGAAACTCTTTGTCTTCTCTACATGCTTCAAGGCCTCCAAGTGGCTTCTTTGGCAGCACTTGTTGGGAACAGGCCAAAGCTTTTAGCAAGTTGTTGCATGCTCTTCTTGTCTTGGGCCTTGTGACTCAGGTAGAGTCTATCGGGTCAGTTCTCTAACAGCTTATTGTGCCTTTGGCAAACCCGCCACATGGCACAGCAAAGTGAGCACAGGAGGTTGGAAACAGCCTTTTCCCTTGGGTTATGTGAGCATTCTCTGTCCTCCTTAGCTGGTTCCTAAGGTTGGAGAGGGACCTGTCCAGTTTCCTGAGAATCTACAGAGGAAGAGAAAAGCTATGATGCCCAACAGGGAAATGCCTATGCCTAACGAGGCATGCCTAGTTAGGAACCATGCCTAACTAGTAAACCATCTCTGGTGCTGGCTACCTTAAGCACACTGAACTACTTCACGTGGGCTGCCTCAAGAACTAGGAGAAAGGTAGCTTCCTCCTCCTTGTCTGTCCTCATCGATGCAATATACTTGAAGGCACTTCAACGGGGCGGGGGGGCAGGGGGTGTAAATCTACCAATTCCACACAGCCTTAGCCTTTGAGGAATATTTCCAGTTTGGTGCATGAAAAAACATTTATTCCTCTCAGAATCTTAAGCAGATAACACATTTGAGTCTTGCTACATCCAGTCGGCCACAGCAACCTTCTATTGACCTTGTTTCCCAATGTGAGAGCAGCATCAAAGGGGTTTCAGTCCATTGCAACTGGAGCGGGTCAGGCAGCTTGCCAAGTGGATATCTGCTGGTTTAATCACTGTGCAAATCTAATAAGGAACTGGAATGTACCATGCTCATTACTGAAATTAAATTCACCTCCAATTAAAGAGAGAGCTATGAGCTTCCACCATGCAAACTGCCCCCAGGCTGCTCCTCCCAGTGGTAATCCAAAAACAACATCAGCACCAGGCTTGCTAAATGCTATGGTATCACAAAGTACAAGAAAATGAATTAGATCCTCCTTCTATTGCTATGGGAAGTTTAAATTTGCAGATTAAACTCAAGTCCTAACAAGGTAACTTACAACCATCTGATATCCATGCCTTCAAAGTCTTCCACTGTAGAACTTCCACCTCTGAGTCATGGAGGTATTTTTGAAATTCCCATTTTAAAGTGGCAGGCCATCTTCTGAAGCAGTAGTGTAAA